TATAAATTTTAATAGGAATCATTCAATTTATTTTATATCATTATGAACAGCAGATTATTTGCATACCAGATTCTTGTGGAATCGATACAATCCATTCCTTTGAAGATTTTATATAAGTAGAAATGTTAGGATTTGACTTTTTGATTTTTTTTTCTGTCAATTTGGAAACATTTATAGGAGAAAATAATCTCCACTCTTCAATATTGGGCAAGGCACGTGCTAATATAAACCCTGCGTTTTCCCATTTATAGGCCATTTCCAATGGGAAAAGCTTGTAATCTCCTTTATGGTTTTAACAATCACATGATTGTGAAGAGGCTCAATATGTGCAACCCGAGTTCCCCGAGATCTTGAATTGCTTCTTGAATTTTTTCTCCACTATCGAGATCATGACCTACACGTACATATCTGGCTATCGCATATAAGATCTATCAAATATATTTATTAGTTAATTGAATCCTTTTAAACATAATAGGTAATCAACTTACTGTAGCGTAATATGAATCAACCAATAATTTAGCTTCACCAGCTTCAAAAAAATACCAATCCTTGACCTCAATAGTATACCATTGATACCAATTAGAAACCACTGCCATTACTTCAGAGCTGTGGTAATGTCCTCTGTTGTCTGAAAAGACTTTGATCTATTCAGGTTTCGGGTTTAGAGTTTCAAAGACTGCATCGAAAGAAGAAATGGTAAACCAAGCATCTTGCTTGATATCTAATAACCTATGGTCAAATGCCTAAACCTTAACCTCCTTGTCATTTTTCTTGATAAATACGAGAATGGTATATAGTATCCATCCTCTTTTTCCAAAAAATTGTTCTTTGATTTCACGCACTCACTTTTCTAATATCTTCATCTTGTAATCAGCTAAAATTAGTGCATCTTTCTCATCTAAATTTAATATCTCTGCCTGGAATTGGGTATTTAGATACACTTTTCGAGCTTGATGTGCAAGAAAGAAGCAGAGTTTTTCCTTGTATTCAATAAGTTTTTGAGAATGTTCACTGGGTAATAGAGTTTCGATTTGTTCAAAGAGGTGAAATAGCTTATCACATTGCTGACATCGGATACTGTGTTGGTTTTTACAGTCACCAAAAGCATACATCAAACAATGATTGATGCATTCTATATAATGTGTAGTATCATGATTATTGATCGTAAGTTCTTTTTCAAATTCTTTATATAAATGATGGCGTAATGTTTCTATTTGACTAATATAATTATTCTAAAAAATTTTGTTAGATATATCAATATTATTTATTTAATCAGTATGGATATTACTTACTTGAAGCCGTTTTTCTTTGACGTTCGTCTATATTAATAGTATTAAATCATCAAAAATTATATACCCATAATTATTACAGATACTGCACAGCTCTCCAAGATCTTTTTGATAAACATATTGACCATTGGCTAATCATGCCATAAACAAGGTTCATTTAATTCCACTAGGATATTTTTCTTTGAACTTATTCCATAATACTTCTTTGTTATCTTTTAGATATAATAAAGGTAATCCTGTTTTTTTGTCGACTGCATATAAACTCATACTAATATTATTCTTATCATCAAAAAAGGCCAAGAATTGTATGTCTTGAATATTTGAAACACATGATCTTTTAATTACAGGTTTTTCAATAATAAAATATCCTGATCCATTAACACGCGCGTAGTGTTTTTCAGCATAATAAAGATTATGGGATATCTAATTAAACAAGATAATAAATAATAAATAAATAATTTATCTAAAAAAAAATACTAATCAAGTAATCTTACTTTTAATTTATCATGTAATTCTTTTGGATTGAATTCTTTTGCAATTATTGATACTATTCGTTGTATATTATTTAGACCCTATTTATTTTGATCCAAGGCTTGTTCAAAGTTTCGCCAAAACTTTAACTCAGTACTAGTTTCTGATTTTTCATTCTTTTGTAATTAAATAATTAGTCCAAGATTTAATAATCCCATTTTATACAAATTTTCTATAGTTTTCTTATCAGGTAAAGGATCTATAGCTGACGATCAAAATTCAAACTATTGAAAGTAATTGTTAATTTAACAATTGAACAACCATGTTTTAAATAATAATAAAATAAATAATTACTAATCTTTGATTCTTGTTTTGAAAATGGCGTAATATTTGTACATTCAACTGCTCATAGCATTGCTCGCCAATTTCACAAGATCCGATCATCTACAGTGAAATTAGAAGAATATATTTTCTTCAAGGCATTAGTAAGTTCAATAATATTACTTTTTTGTATTTTCCAATTGACAAAAAATTGATACCATGACAAATTCATAGTAGCAATATTCTGATACAAATGTTTATAAAAAATTTTTTTCATAATTTCTAGATCATTCTATTCAGTAACTTAACATTGTAAAGAGACCTTGTAAATTCTTTCCAATTCACGTTTTACTATTAGATTATCAAGACCAAACAATAATGAACTATTGTAATTTTGAAAAAATGGCATTTGTTTCCAGATTTCTGACAGAACATCAGCATTTCGTGAAAATAAT